GACTGTAAAAAAAAGTTGCTGCCTTAAATTTAAGTACAGTCAACATGGATGTTAAAGTCAATCTGACTTAAATGACATTAAACTGACTTTAAAAATGAGTCGAATCTTGTATAACTTACAATAATATAATAAATAGAGTTGAAAATTGCTTAACTTATTTTGAACGATAAAGCGCGATTAATCGCATCCAAAATAAAAATTTGTGTTTACATAATATATGTGTGTATAATTATTTTGTATATATATATATATATATATATATATAAATACACACACATGCATGTATATTTAAGAGAAAATATTAATTGTATATAAAATATTTATATTTATACATACCGGTAATATTAATTATATATAAATATACATGAAAATACTTCTTAAATATATACAAGCATGTGTGTGTATTTATATATATAAAATAATTATACACAGTGCACCCACATATATTATGTAAACACAAACTTTTATTTTGGAAGCGATTAATCACGATTAATCGCCCAAGTAAAAAACATACGTCATCATAACTTTTTTTTTTTTTACAGTGTATGATAATGAGAATTTTGTAGAAAATGTGTTTAATTGTCACAATGCAATAAATAACTTTAAAGACCATTTTCTTCTCCAAGAAACCAATGTCCTACCCTTTATTTAGATTTTAGGTTTAAAATAAGAGCCACGTTTCATGCTTCTACTTGAGCAAAGTTTATATATAAACACGTCTGCGGCCGATGAATCACCAGGAATCAGAGAGTTAGACAACAGGCTTTAATAGGAGGCTCAGACCGTTGAGCGTCTCATGAGTCCCGAAAACAAACCGCCCAGGTCTTGGTCCTGATCCCAGCTAAAGACACCCACTGATACCATCAACAATACACTCCCTCATCCTGACACGCAGAAAAAAGCAAAAGAGAGTATATAATTCTAGGTTATTCTGAGTAATACTTACCCTTAGTTGAACTGAAACTAGTGGCTTTCTTTAAACGTAGCATCATAACGCAGGCCGTCTATAATAGTCGGATTTGCATTGGAAGAGCAGCCAAAGGCTACGGGAATGGAAAGGCCATTTGGATGGTAGTTGGAGCACAGCGTTTCTAGACCAGGGCTGCTTACGCTGTAAAAGCCACAATATACTTACAATGTAATCTCTCCTGATGGCCAACTCTGAAACATTAAATCCTCGTAAAACGATCTGCCATTTTATGCCCTGTCTTTCACAGTCTACTGCCATCTGACTCGAGGGGGATTTTAACACTGCTGTTCTAAGCTGGACTAACATGGCTTTATGCACAGTGGACACGACACAAATAATAGAAAGTGTGTTTTCTGGCTGATAGGCATTTCTGTGAAAGGAATGTTCCAGCTTTGATCCAAATTAAGCTGTATGGTCAACATCTGTGGCATGTTGTTGTTTATTTGATTTATTGTATCATTTATTTAGCAGGTTAGATACGTATTTTTATGTAGTTTTGGCTTAGTGGTGATTCTTAAATTTGTGAATCCGTGTACTGTGCTAGGAGTTGCCTAAGGCCGTGTGTCCACCAAAGCGTTTTTCCACGCGCCTGGCGTATGTTTTCAATTGTTTTCAATGGGAGCGCCGCAGTTTTTAAACGCCATGCCCATGAGTGTGACGAGGTGCTGAGCGTTTTTTTTTTTTTTCACGCTGAAGCGTTGAGCGCCCGGCGTTTTTTACTGGTTGCCGAGCCGAGAGTTGAAAAATGTTCAACTTTAGGTAAAACGCAGCGCTCATCACTGTCACTTTTTGCCCAGCCGTCCAATCACAGTGGAGGAGGGGCGGGACTAAACTACACTGACCAACTTTCACAACATTCTTTCTGTACAACGACATCAACCAACAGAGCAAACCGAACAAAATGGATGAAAAATACATTTTTAGTATGAAAAATATGATCTGCAAAATCAGTTACAAGTAAACTGTGCTGCTGATAATCTATATCAAGGGAACGAAACCTCACAACGGAGAAACGCTCTCAAGCGCCAAAAGCATGGCGTCTGGCGTTTTCAGCTGGCTAAAAACGCTTTGGTGGACACACGGCCTTAGGGTGTGTTCACACTTGTCTGGTTTGGTTTGATTCAAAGGAACCCTGGTGCGATTGCTCTAGTATTGCGGCTCATTTGAATAAGGTCCCGCCCACACTACTGCGTTTTGGTTTAAAAACGGAGAATTAAAACGAATACGATCTCCGTCCACACCAGCGTTTTCTGCTCATTACAACTGATCTCCGTCCACATTAAAACGACTGAAAACGCAGATCACGTGACCATTCACCAACACTGGCCATGCGCAGATTGACTATTCCTCAGATTTGATGAAGAAGAAAGTAAAGTTAGCTACCTCTGCAAAGATTAGAAATGTGGAAGACCAGAGTTTTCTTTTCATGGAACGACGACTAGGTGGAACTTATACGGGGACGGGTCATGTGATGGGTGGCTGACGAATCAGGGAAGGACACGTCATGACTGATGACACCCAATCATAGAATCGAGCGTGAGCCTCTGCGTCATCGTTTCAAAAGTCCTCCGTTTTGTCCCGTTGTCACTGGAACGCCCTACGGAGATTCAAAACGCAAAACGGAGCAACAGCGTTTCTAAACTTCTCCGTTTTAGGTCTTCGTTTTTTCCGTTTTAGTCTGGACGGGAGGTGCAAACGTAGCAAAAGGTTTTCATTTTTAAACGAAAACGCACTCAGTAGTGTGGACGGGGCCTAAGTGTGAACGCTGCCATCTGAACCCTGTTGCACACCAAACAAGCGGACCTAGAACCCTGAAAGATGGGTCTCGGTCAACGAATGCAACGCGAACCAAAGACATGCCGATGAATGAAAAACAGGACGTGATGTCAAGATGCGACCCTAAAAAGGACAGAATGCTCAACCCTGTACCAATACCTGTTTTTTTCTCGTCATATTCACATCACAGTTCAGTACAGGCGTCAGAAACGTCTAATCTTTAAGTTCAGTGTTAAAAATGACAGCGAGAACGCTAGCGGACCAGGACTAAATGTACCAATTTGTTTTTTGGTCCAGGCCAAAAGGATCATGATAACCCAACTACAAGTGTGAACACAACCTTAAAGGTTGTCATTAAATGTATCGCTTTTAGGGTGTGTTCACACTTGGGATGTTTGGTTTGGTTAAAACAAACCCTGGTGCGATCGCTCTGTTAGTGAAATAAATGTGAACACTGCCAGTCAAATCTTAGTGCGCACCAAACAAGCAGACCGAAACCCCTGAAAAGTGTTGCCAACTATTTTCGATGGAAAGTAGCTAAAACTTGCACAAAAGTCGCTTAATGACACGCCAACTATCAGCATTGGTTTCTTCTAGAGGAGCATTCGACTTTTGGTAACCAAACAGTTGATGGGCCCCATTTTTTTTTTCCTACTATGGAAAACAATGGTTACCGTCAACTGTCTGGTTACTAACATTCTTCGTTTATGTTCAGCAGAAGAAAGAAACTCATACAGGTTCGAAAAAAACATGAGGGTGAGTAAATAATGACAGATTTTCATTTATTGGGTGAACTATGCCTTTAAGAATGATTCATCTAATAGTGTTAGAGAATCGAATAGTTCAGTCAATCCATCAACTAAAATACATAGTTTATCTGTTGTTTGTGCTGACAAGCTCCTTATATTGATCTTTTCTAGACCCAAACATTAGAACATACAAGGTTAGTAAGTTAATCACATTAGTTTCACGTTAACACATTTAATGGTTTAAAACTCATGACTTTACTTGTCATATTGAAGCCAAGCTGTAGCTCCATTGTAGATGTGTTACTGTAAAAGCATTTTTTGTTTATTTATACAAACCGAATTATAAGTCCTAATCAAATAAGACCAATTTTTGACGACAACGACGGGGACACATTTTCTGAAACATTCCTTGAAGGAAAGGCTCTTATTAACTTTGTTAAGCAAAATACACAAGCGCATACACACACACACACAACCATACACATCTAAAGTGGCAGCCATTTGTTCTGCGATACATGAATATTTAATACACCACCTAACTTGACAATAAATTGTTAATATAACAGGGGGAAGCTGAGGTCTTGTAGGAAAACGAGGCTGAGTTATGCCACAGGTCAATCCTGTTCCATTCAAAGTCTGAAAGGAATGTGGGAAAGGGAGGGAGGAAGAGGAGAGAGGGGATCGACGGAGAGCGGAGAGGGAGGGGGGATGTATAGGATGTCCTCCTTACCATTAGAAATGACCACCGGGGTGGTCGTGACTATTAAACACTGATAACCACGTTAACAAATAACCAACTGTCAAACAAGAACAAGTCGTTCCTAATGAAACTGTTGTAACCATAGTTTCAGTAGTTTAGTACTTAAAATTAGACAGTTACCAAATTCATAAGGCTATTTTTTTTAGTATTTTGGAATAAACTGGTGTATTTTAAACTGGTTTTAAATCAAAATTATCGAAATTACGACATTGCCAGAAATCCCTATAGTTATTCAAAAAATAAAGACATTTTTTTCTGGCAGACATGGGCTATATCTCAATGAATGGCTACATTACAACAATAATTGATGGTTCACAAAGGGAATTCTGGGAATATCAATTATAAGACAGTTTAAGCTTTTTAATAGCCTACTACTTAGTTCAAGTAGCTTAAATATAGGCAAATGAAGCATACACACACGAAAAATTAGTTAATTAAAATAATATATCCATCATTTTTAGTTCTGAAAACCTTTTTATATACGTAATGTATATAGAGTCCGTGTTGTCTTTTTAATATATCCAACTTAAGTTTATGCATTTAAAATTTGAATACACCTGATATGTGTGCATCATTGCAACTTCAGGCTTGTAAAAGCAGCAGAAATGTTACAAGAAACGCATGTTCTACTTAACACTGAGCGCTGACACAAACATTTCGGAGGTTTTGGAAACATAATCCGAATCATTTCAAAAGCAGTCAGAAGGATTAACAGCACAAAAGCGCACACATGGCATACACTCACCTCTGCATTCCAGTTATGTTTATCCAAGCAGCGCGCAGTTGTAGTGTTGAGTTGGTTACTTTGTGCTCCTTTGTGGTTCTTGGGCAAAAGCGTCTCGCATCGCATCTGGGCGGGGCTGGAGCGCCGGTGATGTCACAGAAAGGGGCGGGGAATATGAGACGACTGGGCGGAGACTGGACCACTGTGGTGGTTTCGCCATCTGTCACCTCAGGAAAATCACTTTTCCCCTGGTGTATAGAGTTTGCCTGATCAATTTTTTTTTTTGAATGATGATGCGGATTATATTTATTCTATAGCCTACCCTGCATCGAGCTTTCCATCTCTTTCTTACATAGACTACTTCTACCCCCAAGAACAGACTAAATATCCAGTAACTTTTATTTTACGTCCTTGTTACATATGTCACATGTAGTTACCAGAGTAATAACAGTAAATTATGCATAATTACATGCAACTAACCCTCAACCAAATCCTATACCCTAACCCTAAAGTATTTATTTACCTATATAAGTTTATTCAGTACTTAAATGTATAATTACATTGTAACAAGGACACTTTCAAATGAACTGTAACCAAATATTCTATTAATTTCTAACATAACATAACAATATAATGCATAATTAATGACTATTTTTGTATTTATTTAAAAGTACATAAAAAAATTAGCCTAAAAGACTTACCTGTTCAATGCCGAACGTGTTTTCAATTTCAAAATTTAAACATTTATTTATTCATTTATTTTGTTGAACATACAGACATGGGAACAAATTAAAAGGATTAAAAAAAGTCAGTGTGGTTCTATAAAGTGGTCAAAAGCTTTCCGGGCACTATTCAGTAATTCTGGACGGGGCGGACGCTAGAGGGGAGAAAGGTGGTGAGGCCCTACGATTTCAAACTAAGGGCGACAAAGGAACGCAATTTCAATTGAGTCAAACAAGTGTGATTGAGATGAAAAGGAAAAAATAGCTTTATAGGTAGTAGGCTATAGAGCTCCAAGACTAACAGGAAGTGATAGACATCCTGACTGTTATGCCATCCTGACAGATCCGAATAAGCATACTTTAGTAGATGAAAAACTGACACAGGAGCTGGTAAATACCGACCCGCCATATACTGTAGACAGCACTCAGTGTCGAAATTCACTTAGTCGTTTTGCATTCACTCAAGTTAACTATTTTAGTGGACAAATGTAGGGAATAGTGAATGAGGGTATAGGCAATAGGAGGCGATTTTGAAACATAACACACACCCTAAAATTTGATTGAGGTTGATTTAGTGACCTAACTTATAATAACGATTCATTCAAGAATCAAATGTCACTAGTAAGTTCACAGTATTTATAAAACAGTAGGCAAAAAGTATAGTTGGTGGAACACCCACCAAGAAGAAAAGAACTACATATAGAAACAGCCTTCAACTTAGAGTTTGAAGTTCTAGAAAGCTACAAAACCCTTTATAAATATCCACAAAAAAATCTGTGGGGGTCTGTGGGATGACGCTCAAGGGGACGGTGCAATAATATGATAGCAGTCTCGAGGAGGGAGAGAGAGCCGCTGCTATCTTTGAGACTGCAACAAAGAGACTCCTCTTCACCGGGAGCATCATGCCCTGCGTACTCTGGGGGTGGTGAGGGCTTGTCTGTTTTGTGAGAGAGGGACAAAAAATATATTGAAAGGCAAAACAAAGATAGAAAGATATGAAAAGCCACATGATATAAGCTTTCATGGTGCTTGGACAAAAAAAAAAACTTTCTGGCATAGAAGCAAGCAGCACATAAACGAAATACAATCATTAGATGGTGATGCACTCTGTTCAGACAAATCGGATTGACAGTTGAGGTGCATGTTGATTTGACAGACTCCTGTTGTTATACGCATTAGTTCATTAGTCTCGACACGTTGTCAAAGTTTGAGCTTTGCTCTCAGAGGCCCGCGTTTGAAAGGCAATAATCTAAAAGCTGACTCAAATGCGCAAAAATACACTGTCGTTCAGGTTTAAAGGTTGTGCGGAATTAGCATACAGCCGTGCAAGCAGAGAGTTCATTATTTGAGAAGTTCCCCGTGTGCGCGTCCTTTTGTTGACATTTGTACGGTCTCCGCACAACCCTGTTTACACTTATTCTGAATTTTAGCCTGAGGTGCATGCCGACAAAATGAAAAATATGGCATGCCAAATATGTTTGTATAATAGGCTACCTTGCGTGTGCTTTATGTCATCTCCATAATTCAGACGTGGACGTAACAGTAATGGCATCTTATATAAGCACACGTAAAAAAATATATTTCCTAAATGAATCTTTTAGCCTACTTTTGAGGATTAAAAATAAAATAAAAAATAACCAAGGTACATGTACAAAAACATAGTATTACCACCATTTATGTCCAAAACGCTTGGCTCACAAACTCAGAAGTCATCTTCGATCTGTTTACTTTGGTCTTAAAGGGACAGTTCACCCAAACATTAGGCTACTATTTTGTCATGTATGACCTGATATGGAACCTTGTTTCCACCACAGAATAAAAGTAAAAAGGTAATTGCAACTTTTTATCTAACAATTCTGACTTTTTCTCACAATTTGTGAGTTAACATCTGACTTTGTGGGACAAAAAGTCAGAATTGTGTGATATAAAGTCGTAATTGCGAGATAATTGACATTCAGATTCAATGTGAATAAATGTCAGAAATTTGAATGATCTGTTTAAATGAATACTTCTGGGTTTATTACAAGCTAATATCAGACAGTAAATTGCATTTTTAGCATAGCAACATAGTGTTTCACACTGGCTACTTAAATCTGACTAGAACAATAGTCCTGGAGCTTAAGGATGTTTTAGCACAACTTATCAAATTTTATAGTGTTTAAACGAAAAAATTATTAGCACATTTTTTGACTTCCATTGTAAGTGAATTAATGTAAACATGATGGTTTGTTTTTGAAATGGAGGGAGGAGTTTTTTCTGTTTTTCTGTGGTTACTGACAGCTTGTCACGTCTTGTATTTAACCCAGTACGTTCCTTTAAAAGTGGCTATGCATACGTGTCTCTGTAAACCAGCGAGAATGATTCAGGCTGTTTCTGTTATTATCTGCATGTATCGTCACAGTCACACAGAGGGTTTGTGCAGGCTGCAGTAGTTTTCACTGCATTCTTAGGCATTGACTCAGAGGTTTTTCTGTCTGGGAACTGAACTATGGGAAACACACAGGGGTATTCAAGTGGCCACATCCTTATCTGGACTTCTGTTTGAGCTCCAAGGTCATGCGAGGGTAGCATGTTGTAGCACCTGGCTACAAAATAAAAAAAATAAATAAATAAAAATTGAAAGTAAGTAAAGACATTTGAGAATAAAAGTATCACAGTTTGACTCTCAGGAGATCACATGATAATATTCAGACCAATTTCTGTGTAAGTGTCGAGCTGGAAATGTATCCGCAGCCAGCATAATCTGTAAAACATGTCACAGTGGGCAGCTCTTCTCAAGGGTTTGGGCCATTTCCAACGTTCTGTTAACATAAAAACCCAAGCGCAACTGCAAATGTATAAAATGGGCTGGCACAGACACACACAATGATGCAAGGCTTTGTAATCAACAATTTAAACAGAACCATTGCTGCTTAGCAAGGGTGTGTGCTTCAAAAAACATGTGTGTGCTGTGGCATGGCACACATGGAGAACAGTGTCACGTCTGTGTACAATTAAAAAGAAGAAAGAGAATGAAAGATGGCTTTACTGTACAGACCTTATGCACCAGAGAAACATAATTATATTGTCTTTGAACTTCCGATTTTTTTTTTTTTTTTTTTTTTTTGTGGTCGCTCTGTATATCTCTATGGCATTGCTGCCCAGGAGTAATTAGCTTTTGAAGTGGAGTTACTTACTTTAAAGTTAACGAAAGTTATCATGAGGAGTGTAATGTTTAAAGCAGACGTCTTAACAAATGTCATTAGACCTGGAAGATTTTAAAACGAGTCGTTCATTCATAAATAGGCAAGATCGCTGTGAAAATACAGACTACTAGCGCGGAAAAGGGGCGGGGCTTCATAAGGTCTATAGGGAATCACAACTCTGACTGAATCCAACATGGCTGCTTTATCAGCGCATCAACCATAGTGAAACAATTGTAATATATTGTTTATTACACTTTTGTCTCCAACTCTGTACACAGTAACCTCTATCAGCGGACATTATACATGTGGACATTCCCCCCAAAACTAGGTGCTTCCCTAAACGTTCTCTCGTTAAATGTAAAGCATTCAGAAATACATCACATGAGAGAAGTAAAATGAGTTTTGATTCCTTATTTCGGCCAAAATGTAAGTCAGAATTTCAATCATCCTTAATGAATGAGAAGTAATCCCAGAATGCATTGCATGCTTAATGAAAAATATTTCAATATGTCATAAGTCAATATGTTACGCATTTTGTTAGAGTATTACCTGGTCTTCTGAGAAAAATGAAGCTATTTTTTTTACGAGTTGGCAATTCTTCGAAGTTGTGATTCGAACTGAAATGTGATTTTTAGAAAAAAGGTTAGTATGAAGGTCCACCCTAAAACCTAACCGTCAGGAGATCCTATGAAATGAGATCGCACAAATTCATATGACTTCAAATGTAAATTCTGCGTTAGCTTAGCAACATGTTAGCATCTAGCACTGGTGAATTGAGTCTGTGTGAGTTGTAAATCTGTAACTTGTGGGTTTCCACTTCAGATAGGACATTGTTTGGCAGTTATTAAGGTTTTTAAAAGAGCTTAAGCCTCAGAATCTGAATGCTTAGAGTAAAAAAGTGCCTATTTAGAATTAAAAAAACAATTGCACAGGGCTGAAATGCATTGCGCAAGCTGGGGAATGAACATGCTGATTTATTCGACTGCCCTCAGTGCAATTTCATTTCCCTTTGTCAGAGAGGCACACACACTTCTGATAGATATGAGCCTCCATCTCAGCGGCCATGACTTCAGATATAGCGTCTGGAAAATGGCCTAATCCCTGCAGCCAACGTCTTTTCTGGTACTTTAAATTTAGTTGCCTTCTTGAGAGCAATAAGCCAACCAGAATGTAATTGATTTCCATGAAATGTGACATTCAACTTGACGCATTTAAAAAAAAAAATCAATCACTGGCTATCAGGTTTTTTACTTTAGATCTGTGGGCCTCAAGCTGGGAAACTGCGTGAAAATATTGAGCTTAGTGTCGTCCTTTTGCATTCGTGATATGCGCTGACATTTTGAAAGCTT